GAAGATCAGAAGTGCTGACTTTTCAAAATCCTATTAAAAATGGCGGAAATTTCAAATTTTTCGTCAGCCGAATTGAAGCAGAGAGTTTTAGCTTAACTTTCACATCTAAATCTGCTGCAGTAGTCATTTTCTATCAAAATAAAGAAAACACGAACTCAAAAGATGATTTTATTGCTTGGCTATGCCTCTTCTTGCAAGAGCTTCGAAATCGTAGATTGTAATAACTAATATCTCAAAAATCTGGAAAAGAAGATTATTGGTGAGCGCTGCAGGGATGAGCACGGAATCTTTCAAATTAAGATCGGCCGATAAAGATTTTCAAGGATTACAAAACGCCTATATTATTTTATTTTTCTCGTCACTAGCCAACGAAAAACTATAAAAATAGGACTTGTTGGTTTAGAAAGTTGGTCCTTTTGAACGTGTTGAGTATTCTTGCTATCTTATTTCTATTTCGCTTTCTACAGAAGAATGTATGATATAGGTCTTGTAGAGAATTCAACGGAGTATCTTGTAAGTCTAATCTCAATTCACTACGATCAAACTTGAGCTAGATATTCACGAAATAAAAAGTGTGCCATTATTTCTTGGACACCTGTTATCATTGACATTCTCTTCATGAATTATCATTGAGACACTATATTAGCATAATATACTTGATATATTGCAAAGAACAGCATCAACGCCCAACATAACTAGCACAATTAGCCCAAGGGCAACAAGGACGAGCACCACAACATTTCGCGTCATTACCATTAAGACAACAAGCAGCATAAGCAATATTACATAGTCCTCGTTTCTGTGGCACTAGCCGTTTCAGAGTGCTGCCTGCATTGCAGTACGTCACCAATAAAGTCATGATCAGAACCATGAAAATCGTTGTTTTGATTTTTATCATTTTGTGCCTGTGAATTGTAGAAGAAATTTCGATAGATAGAGTATCTATAGATCGTTTGATCGAGATTTTAAGTGAAACCAAATGTTAATCAAGCAATAGCAGTTAAAACATTTTTTCTGCCCGATGTAATCACAATGCTGGGTAAGTTTTCGCATAGGCGTATCACCGTTGTCTAATTATCAGCAAAACAAATGAATGACTAATTTCTTTTATGCAGAGACAATGCTAACTAGGTTCTTTTCTCTCTGTGTTTTTGATGATAGAAAGTATATATATTTGTTACTGCTGACAATACTCACATCCTATATGCTTTAAAGTGATGTAACGCAAAGTGTTTCTCTTAGCTACAGACGAACTTCTTTGTGTTGAACCAGTGCATTTTCGTCATCTGTCATTAAAGTGTGAACAAGTTTTAGATGCAAAAAACATCTGTACAATTGATAAAAGAAACTTTTTAGGTTTCTAACAGAGTCAAGAAATTCGAGTGTTTCCATTAAATCTAAGAAAACATGAACAATATTTTTTTTGTAAGAAAAACTATTTTCAAAAGAAATTTTCACTTGTGAAGCAGAACTAATTATACAAAAAAATGAGCTTATTGATTTTGAGAAGTCTCTAGTTCAGTAGCCCAAAGCTTGAAAAGTATTTCATCAACTCATTTAAAAGAGTACACGAAAATAAGCACTATGGATACTTTAAAATATTATTGTTGTTCCTTTAGCTGCATCATGAGCCTTATAAAGTGGTTTTCATCAATAGTATAAATAATTTTTACAGCTAAAAGATTGTTACTTTTGAATGAATAATCATATATACAAATTACAGGATTTCGAAAAATTGAAAATCACATTAGAATGCTTTTCGTAAGGAGGAAACAGCTGATTTGATAGTTTACTAATATGAAAAGTGATTTTATGGAGGTGATAAATCACTTTTCAGACTACAAAAGCATTTCTCATACCAACAAATCAGTTGTTTTTTATTTGCTTCAAGTAGTAAGAAGTTACCCAGCAGTTCGAAGAAGAGCTAATAATTCTTTTTATTTTCTGATTTGAAACATAATTTCAAATCAATCAAATCAACTGTTTATCCCTTAAATTTTCAACTGGAATTTTCACTGTCTTTTGCTACGCAGAGATTGATGAGGTAGTTTGTTTACTCTTTAGTCAAAGTCTTAAACAAATGGGACAACATAGAGCTGACAGGATATAAACAATATTGAAATGTATCTAACTTCTTACCTGTTACGATCGTTAAGAATGTTGTTTGCAATAGCTGCCGTAAAATAGTTTGCTTTTATAGTCTTGATTGCTGCTCGCTATCTACATATAGATTGACGAGCCTTCGAGAAAAAAAATCGTATGTTTATTTCGTTGTATTGCGATAAATGGCAAAACATATTTGTATACTTTATGTTAGCTGTTTTCATCCCACGTCAACAGATCACTGTTTGACGAAAAAGCAGTGGAGTAAGTAGGCCCTTCGTGTTATTGCTTTTTTGAGTGCAAAATTGTAACGCCACTGAGTCCTACTTATCACATTTTGGCCCAATTTGCGCTGCAAAGAATCAACACGAGAGAAACTGCCCTTCTATTGGCTCAAATCATTTAGGTGCCATAAACTTAATATCGCGTTATCTGTGCAATTCATGCCATCCACCTTTCGCACAACCCCAAATTGTTGACTATTTGTTCTTAATCTTTTCTGATCAACATATAGTCTGTACCGATTTTCATCTACTGAGGAGATTTGGAGACTCAAAATATGGCTTTAAGCATCAAAAACTTCTAGTAGAGTACTGATTTTCAACTCAAGGAAAACGAAATTCTCACACTGTTTCGGATTTTTTCAAATCAAATTTTACACAAAGCATGTACTGAATTACTGCCGCATTTTGGATATAATACAACTGACTGAACTGAAAACTTTTTCCAGGCAGAAGACACTGTTTTTGATAAGTATTCTTATTTGTTTGAATAAATACAGTGTCCCATAAGTAGCTCCACGATAAGAACTTTGAATATCTCAATACCAGTTCAACGAAACGAGCTGATTCCTTATTTCGATTGATAGAGTCTGACTTCATTTTTTTTTCATACGAACAATATCAATCAACACTACTTTGAACTATCATCTTTAATTCAAATGGAAAAAATGACCCTTTTCTGAGATTCGAAAAAATCAATAAACAGTGTTCTGTAGATAGTTTTTGTTTCTTACATCAGAGAGTACCAAGAAAAAAAATCAAAGGATGCTTAATTAAGGATATTAAACCAATCACACAAATCAAGGATTTATAACAAACTAGTTTAGATGCTCAAGCTGATGTCCATCAACCGCAAGACACCGTTGAAGCCTCTCAGACACTGACTCACCCACTTTGTTGCAAAGACCAGTATCAAGTGAATCAAATGCTGTAACAATTGACTGCTTTAGATTAGCTACATTTCGAAACTTGTTTTTGTACACCATTTCTCTTATGTATCCCCACATGAAATAGTTTATCGGTGTTAGACCGACGATCTTGTAGACCACTCGACTGAGTCTCGACGGTGAATCAATCTACTTGAAAAGTTTCGATTAAGTCAATCTCGAACGTTAAGAGTGTAATATGGCATAGTACCATCCATCCTGTATGAACAAAATCGAGCCATTTTCTGGCAGATCATAATATAGTGGATAGAAATAATCGTTAAGCATCGAAAGAGAACTTTCACTAGTCGCCGCATTCTCGAAGAAATAAGGACCGAATACTTCTTTTGACCAAACAGCAGCCCATACAGTAATCCTTTCTGTCGCTATTGAGTGTTCCCATGCAATATTTGGATTTTCTTTTGCTCAATAGACCATATTATGAGGATTAGCATCGCCATTGAGCTTGGGTGTGGGGGGTGGGTATGACAGTTGTGGCTGTGGGAGTGGGTGTGAGCGTATGGGTGGTGGGTGGTGTGTGTGAGTGCCGATGTGTTAGTGTAGGTTTAGAGGATGGGCCCAGACACATCCAAACCCACCTCCACATCTAGACCCACACCCACACCCACACCCGCGTAGACTTGATCCAGGTCGCCATTTGAATGTACGTATATCTCATGCGATTTATAAGATTACAGCATGCACTATTTTACTTTTGGTTGTTGATGAACTTAAGTGATATGGCGATTACGCTTTTTAGGCGTGCAACATAGTGATGAGCCGGTACAATTTACATATGTTTATTTCGTCGTAGAGACGTCTCTTTGATATTTGTGACGGTTTTCGTTTCTTTATATCGACTGATCTATTATAGGCTTGTAGGTAAAATGGGGTTTCTATCAATGGATGAGCGTGGATATGAGTTGTATTCCTCTCTATAGCACAGCCGTACATGCTGACACACACTCCTAACCCTTACCTCCACACCCACCCACACCATAATGGAGCAACATAGTTGTCAGAAGCTCATTTTTATTCTTTCTTAATCTTAGTTGTTACTTCTCATCAATGAATGAAGACTTCCAAAAAAAAACCATTTCAACAAAACAGAATAAAAGAATATGAACAAAAAACAAAATAAAGCTCGACAAGAACGGAATGTGTGATGGCATATAAAGTTTGAGTCTGTAACAATAGTTCTCTTTATCAAGTTACTTTTGTCAGGCTAGAATGCATACATGTATAGACATAAGATTAATCATAGTTCATTTGTTTGAGATCATTAATATAATTCGGAACTACTCAGAATGAGATATATGTACCCACCAGTAACTAACACTTGTCCATTAATCAATACGGATGCTGTGTGCTGAGCTCGTAGCTTGTTCATAGTGTCAGTAGTTGTCCAAGTACCTGTTGATGGATCATACAACTCAACACTATCGACAGAAAAACCACTACCATCGAATCCACCAGCAACCAACACTTTTCCATCTGTCAATACGGTTGCTGTGTGATCATATCGACCGTTATTCATACTACCAGTCGTTTTCCAGTTTTCTGTTGACGGATCATACAATTCAGCACTAAATAGAGAATCACCCAGTCCACCAGCAACTAAAACTTTTCCGTTTGTTAATACGACTGCTGTGTGGGAATATCGTCCACTATTCATACTGCCAGTGGTTCTTCAAGTTCCTATTGATGGATCATATAACTCAGAACTATTTAAATAACTATGAAAATATCCACCAGCAACTAACACTTTTCCATTTGTCAATGCGGATGCTGTATGATAATATCGTGCATTAGCCATAAAGCCGGTGCTTGTCCAAGTTCCCGTTGACGGATCATACAACTGAGCACTATTTATAAAACCAATACCAATTCCACCAGCAACTAACACTTTTCCATTTGTTAATACCGATGCTGTGTGGTCAGATCGTCCATAGCACATACGGCCAGTGCTTCTCCAAGTTCCTGTTGATGGATCATACAACTCAGAACTATTTAGATAGTCACTACCAATTCCACCAGCAACTAACACTTTTCCATCTGTTAATACGGATGCTGTGTGATCCGATCGTCCATAGCTCATACCATCCGTGCTTGTCCAAGTTCTTGTTGATGGATCATACAACTCAGTACTGTTTAGATACCCATTAAAGTATCCACCAGTAACTATCACTTTTCCATTTGTTAATACGGATGCTGTGTGCCGATATCGTGTACTATTCATACTACCAGTCGCTGTCCAAACTCCTAATGATGGATTATACAACTGAGCACTATTGAGATAATCAATAACACCTCCACCGGCAACTAATACTTTTCCATTTATTAATACGGATGCTGTGTGGTAAGATCGTCCATAATTTATACGACCAGTTCTTCTCCAAGTTCCTGTTGATTGATTATACAAGTCAGTACTATTTAGGTAATCACCATAGTATCCACCAGTAACTAATACTTGTCCATTTGTTAATACAGATGCTGTGTGGTAACGTCGTGCATTATTCATACGACCAGTGCTTGCCCATGTTCCTAATGATGGATCATACAACTCCGAACTAATCGGAGAACCGCTCCCACCAGCAACCAACACTTTTCCGTTTGCTAATACAGACGCTGTGTGGTCAGATCGCCCATAATTCATACTACCAGTGGTTGTCCAAGTTCCTGTTGATGGATCATACAATTCAGTACTATTTAGATAACCACTATAGCGTCCACTATAGTATCCACCAGTAACTAACACTTTCCCATTTGCTAATACGGATGCTGTGTGCTGATATCGTGGATTGTTCATACTATGAGCGGTTGCCCAAGTTCCTGTTGATGGATCATACAACTCAGTACTATTTAGATAACCACTATCAATTCCACCAGCAACTAACACTTTTCCATTTGTTAATATGGATGCTGTGTGGTAAGATCGTCTATAAATCATACTACCAGTGTTAATCCATCCTAGAAGAACCATTGGAATATGTTTAATATGAAAAGCGGAGTATTATGGAGTACACAAGATTGTCTGTCTTTAAGTGAAGTGTTTTAAAATATTATAAGATAAAAATTGTTTCTCAGTTTCAGTGCAATAGCTTTTTAAGAGTTTGTAGATTAAAAGAATTTTTCAACTGTATTCCAGGAAATTGTTTCTTCTGTGTTTGAGACACGTATGATGGTTTTCTATTATCATTACGAATCCTTTCATATCGATAGTCAATGAAGATTGGCATTTTAAACGAGTGATTTTATCAGTCATGTGAATCGGTCTACGTTTCGACTGTATACAAAGTCACATCACTATCATGGAGGAAAATAATATGCATCGGCAAATATGAATTTTACTTTGGTTTTCTCATGGTTCTATTATTACGAAGTTTAGAATGGCGCATTATCCAAAAGCATTTTGTAGTCACATCAAGATCAGCGGAGTCCTCTGCAAAAATCAGTTTGTGATTAGAACAGGTGCTTTAAAAGATGCTTTAATCAGGCAGTTACAAATAATAGAACTGTTGAGAAATTTATGATTAGCATTTAATTCGCGAGCAAATTATTATGGCATCGTTAATAGTTGCGGGTGTGGGTGTGAAAAAAGAGAATACACACACCTACACCCACATCCTTACTGAATCCTATTTACTCCTCCTAAAATAAACCAAAATGATCCTTGTGATGTTCAAGTAGAAATCGATTATAACCACATTCTAAACCAAATCAAATTGTATAAAAAAAAAGTTGAGTTAACATCGCCGTATGAACATAAAAAAATGATTGATACTCTAAAACCAAAAGAATCATCAGGGTGCGATGCTATATCCAATTTTATGATCTAACGCCTACCACTAGGCTACCTGCAGTGCTTAAGTAAATGCTTTAAGGATTGGTGCCCGGACAGAATACTAATAGATGATTGAAAACTAGGAAAAATAATAACTCTACATAAAGTAAAGTCAGGTTCACCTCACTGTAATCAAACCAGACCTAGTCTGCTTTTAGCTACTCATTCCAAATTGTTCGAAAAACTTTTGTTGAATCGAATTCAATACTAGGTTGAAACCAATCATCTAATACCGGTGGAACAGTCACGTTTTAGAAAAGGAAGCTTACTAAATACTAGATTACTTGCAATTTATCAGGATGTAAAGAATTTCTTTGCAGCAAATGTATCCACACTCAGTATATATGTCGATTATAAGAAAGCATATGATAAAGTATGGCACGAGGGGCTTATTATAAAGCTATATCATATAAAAATGTCCCTTGAATTGTTAAAACTAATAATAAACTAGCTAAATAATCGAAAACCTATGTAGAATTTGGAAATCACAAATCAGATGAATTCGTAGTTAATGTAGGACTTCCGCAAGGAAGCTCACTGAACCCATACCTCTTTATCATTTTTTACTCCGATATTGTAAGCTGTACGGGCGCATGCTCGACCCACATCTTTGCAAATGATCTTTGTGCCCTTATAGTACGCCCAATTCATAAAAGTCTACCAAAAATATTAGAATATATCAATAAGAAGGGAACAGAAATATGCCAAAATCTTTTCGATTACTCCTTGAAGTGGAATCAGGCAATAAATGTGGATAAGACTGTTATACAATTGTTTCATACACAAGTAGTGCAACCTAAAGTACAAATATACATGGATGGAAACCAGCTGAAATGTGTGAAAAGATTCAAATATTTAGGATTTGAGTGGTCAGACAAATTGTCTCTCGCCTCAACCGTGGACCATTGCATAGAAAAAATCAAAAGCTCTTATATAAAGTTGAAATTGTTGAAAAGAAACAAACAGATCACGACTAAGGTATTGAGGCTATGCTTCTTTGCATATAGCTTTCCCTTCTTTGCATGGATTTTTCCTTTTTTCCTCTCTTAACAATCGCTCAATAAGTAGCACTAGAACGTAAATTTAGAGTGGGGTTGAGAATAGTTCATATATGTCCTTTTGTCGCTGCACATGAATTCCCATTGATATTAAAAGAACGATCATTAGAATCATATGTGGCAACATATCTAAACAAACGGTTAAATCGAACATTTAGATCTGATCTAGGTGAGTCTCTCTTCTATAATGGCCTATTTAATTGGGATCATTTCATCAGCAAAGTTGAGAAACAGCAGAGCTTAAACATAGGTCACTACTTTAGATTGTCCGGAGTGAAAAAAATGAAGGATAGGCATTAGTCATTCCTAATTCGCTGGATTCAATCCATTGAAAATCATATGGAAAACGCTGGTAAATGAACTCTTCTCCTACAGCTTTTTTTTATCTCCGTGTCTCTCTATCTTTTCCCTTTTTCTTCTCTTTTCCTTTTCTTCTTATTGTTCACTGTAGTTTTTTTTGTATCCGTTTTTGCTGTACCACATTATTATTGGCGTCCATAGACGTAATAAACATGCATACTTAAAAAAAAGAAATGTTGGTTCCCATGCGGAATGAGATGACGAAGAGAATGTAAACTGGATAGTATTATTCTTTTCATTACAATAGTAATTAGGTACTGCTGTACTTTGACCTAAATATTGTTTATATTATGATAGAATGAAATGGGAAGAAATAAATTAACGAACCTTGTACATATGACAAGGTGATGCTGAAAACACAAGCTAGTAAAAATCGCATGGTGTTTGTGTGTTGAATGCGCGAAAGAAATATTTTTAAAACATTCTTTTTTTCTGCTCTTTGATAGAACACTTATTGAATTCGTCGTATAACTGGAAGAAAATTTTGTTTTTCTTTTGATTTTTATTCGTTCCTTTGAAAACAAATCAGAAATAGAAATAACATTAATCAAACATTCCTTTGAAGTGGATTCACTATGAAACAGCGCAAATCTTTTCGTCATACTTTTTGTATTATTATTGGATGAATAACATTTATTTGCTCTCGTCAAGAAACTAAAACCATGATATTTTTTCCATCAAGCTGTGCTCTGTAATCAAAGTAAAGGAACTGATTTGTTGACCCTAACAAACAAAAGTATTTGAAGCATATTTTTTTTGCTTTCTAATGCTTTTTTTTAGAATGTGTATAATTTCCAAGAGCTGCTCGATTAATTCGAAATTCTTTTCACTGCACAAGTTCGATGAAACAAAAATGAAAATAATTTAAGATTTTGACTGTTTCTCATTATTTTTATCAAATTATATAAAAAAAAATTGTTTTTTTTTCAAATGATTGTTGCAAAAAATAGAAATTAGTCATTTATTGAACGATTATAATAATAATATAAAATTAATTTCTATGAAATGTTTTTGTTGTGTATTTATGTTGTATTTAAATGAGGTTTTGCGTTGAGATCGTCCGTTTTCTTTGTTAATTGAATTTTTTTTGTTAAATTTGCGTTACATTTTTGAATTAACATACACTTCGAAGCTTTGTATTTGCATTTATATAAAATGGAAAAGAACAAAAATAAATTATTTCGGTATTACATTTTAATATGTTTTTTGTGTATTATTTATTAAAAATTTTATTAAAATATTCGTTGTTTATCTCTTATGTGTGAAATTATTTATACGGCCATGTTCATTTATATCATTCAGCTTTTATATATTTTAAATTGTCTTATAAAAACTAAATATTGATTTGAATATAAATCAAATAATTCTATTTAACTTTTGTTTCAACATTCATTTGTATTGGTGTGCAGCTAGCACAGCAGATTGTGATGAACTGAGAATCTTCGATGTTGAGACTTACGGTGATGAGACTTGAGTGAGGACATTCGACAGTACGTACTGAGGCACTTCTATCCTTTCCCGACCTCGACAACTTAAGTGTAAAATATTTTCGATTGATCTAAATCGATTCTTCTAGCTTCGCATCGATAATATAAATGAATTTTTCATTTCACTTCATATTAATTTTAAATATTTAGACAATTTTGTTTTTTGTTTTACATAGAACATTATTTTTATTTGATGTTAAATTACATTAAAAATTAAGTTTTTTTATGAGACAATCTGAAAATTATTCAATCGTCATAGTTTTGTCTATAGCATTACAAAATAAATATGTATGTTTGAACTCAAGATAACTATCTGAATCAAAATGTGATCAAAATTCATTATTCTTTTGAATTTGAAAGAGTAAACTATCATAACTACTTTCATCTTTTGATATATTGATTAAATTGTTTTTAATTTTACTTCTATCTTTTCTCTTTTCCCATATATTGTTGACTTTTTATCATTTTTTTTCATTGTTTGATATTTATTGAAATTGGAACGTTTGTCTTGTTCTCCTTTTATTATCGCGCAATGAAATTAACAATGAATTTATACCTTTATTTCTATTCGTCAGTTATTTTATTTGAAATCAAACATCTGAGATTTTTCTGTTAACTAAAATCTGTACAAAATTGAACTTAGTTTCGATCTCAAACGATGCATCGAAAAGGTAATATGTATGTTCCCAAAATAAAAGACCAACAAGGTTTCAAATATTCGAAATAAAATATGCTTCATAGAATATCATGCAAACTAATTATGTAGATTATTCAACAAATTTCCTGACATATTTAATGTTAAATATCACAACAATTAGTATAGTGATGTATTTCTCATCTTGAAATATGATTTTTATGATCATTTTCTAATGATACTATTTAATGTCTTTAAATAGTATTTTCTTTTCTTTATTCATTATTTTATTTAATATCAAGAAGGAGAAAACGTCAATCTATCGATCCTTACTTCTTGAATTTCCACCAGATGCTTTTTTTTCTTACTCAACTCTTGCATCGATTTCGATAATATCTATACCCACAGGCAAAATAATAGGGTATAGTGCGGTGTGGATATATTTATAGGGGTGTACAAGCTATTCACACGAGACCCATTTAGACCCAAATCCACACTCTGCCATCCATCGAATACAATATCAGATGCAAACAACTTATGTAAGTAGGGTGTGGGGGTGGGTATGGGTGTGTGGGTGTGGGTGGGTGTGGGGTGGGTGTGGGTAGGTGTGCGATGAGGGTGAGGGGTGTGGGTATCCGTGCAGTTGTTATCTTAATCCACATGCCACACCCTATCATTATGTATAAACGGAAATTTCTTAAAACCTTCTATAAGATTTTGCCTGAACTTTGCCACTACTATTAGTGCCCCCTAAGTATTTCCCAATAATGTAAAACAATAAGGAGAAACAAAAAAAAGAATGAAATAAGAATTAGATTTTGCATTGAATTATTTGGAAGAATACAGTAGTTCTCAACTATGGTATTATCCATTTAGAAAAAAAGCATCAATTGAATTATGTGGTAGGAAAGTTATCAACGTACAACTAAAACTAATCACTACAAGACTAAAAAAAAATACGAGTAGTAAAGAAGTATTTCATGAAAAACTCCTATTATTTATTTAGTTTTAGTTGACAATGATATTGATGATAATATTCATCAAGCAGATATTGTTGTTCGCATCCAAAATTCTATCGTAATGCGATGAGTGCATTAGGACACTTAATAAAAAATGACACAACAGAGATATTCAAGACTTTAGAATTAGAAAATAAATCAAAAAATTATCCTAGTAAACTATCTGAAGAAATCAAAAGAAAGTTTTCGATTAGTATTACATTTATTGGAAAATTTTAAACTACTATTGTAGATTAACAAACAGCAGGTACATATGTGTTTGAACCCTAAATTTTTTCTACTGAACCGAATTTGATGAAAATTGTTATAAACTAACTAGGTGATATTATGAAGCATGTGGTTAAATTACAATTAAGAAAGCACGTGGCTACATAAACATTAAAGCATGTTGATTACTGTTGCATTTTAGTAAACAACTGATATTATAATTACTGAAATATTCATTTATTTCATCATTGCCACATGTAATTCTGATGATACAGCAAAAATAATTTTTTATACAAAGATCAGTACAACGAAAGTTACAAATCACATTCGTCCTTTTCTTTTTTTTCTTTCGTGCTACATAAGTGCATCGACGATAAGTTGAAACAGCTTTTGACATATTTTAAAGTTAGGCTATGTGATTAAAGCTTTTTTCGAACTAAGGAAACTTGATATGGTACACTTTTTCAATCTCATCTACACACTCTATCATCCGTGCAAACTTGTACGGGTCTCAATTAATTTCTAATAGTTATCGAAAATATTTGTTTAAGATTCTCAAAAACTCGAAGACTACAAAGTTCTGAAGATGGGAAGTATATTTTTCATCAGGACTCAAAAGAATCTACTGCGTTTGATTGAACGTTTAGAAGATATCTAACAAAAGATAAAATTTAATATAGATTCTTCTCGCATAATGGAAGAACTTTGTTGATTAACTAATTTCTAAATAAACCATCATGTTTGAAAAAAAAATCTGGTTTATTTTGAAATCTCGAAGATGAAAATTTAAATGGATAGAATTCAATTCGATTTTTTAGAATTTCAATTTTCGTCAAATCCTCTCGATTTATAGACAAACCTTATTGATAAGAATCTATAAGCATAGATGATCTACAAAAGAAGATTCTATTATTTCTCTAAATTTTGTTTTCTTGGTCACAATAGAAAAGGTCGAGTTATCTATAAAATATAAGAGTTGCATCCATTGTGTTTTTTTTTGAAAGTAGTCCACTTGAAATACAAATTCCCGAATCAACGAAAGAGAAAATAACATGTTAAAAATCAAGAAAGCATGTGAAAGATTCAATAGACTATAGATAATCAACAAACGTATTTCGTAGAAAGTAGATGTCATGAACTCTGCAATGAGAAGAAAGAGACTTCTTTCCAAACACATGAATATCTATAGAATCGTTTTTATTCTTCGATTAGTTGAATATTTTGCATAGAATTTAACTCTTTTGAGAACACCTCAACTTATCAAACTATTGGAAATAATAAAAGAAAAGAACACTCCGCTGAATTGATTATAGCTGAAAAACTAGAGCTGGACTTATAAAATTGATTAGTCTCAAATGTTAAGGATTAAGATATCTGATATATAAAATATAAGATTTCAACTGACGTATGTTCAAACGATATGTTAGTATTAGTTAGATTCTTTCATAACCATGATCTTAAAAACTAAATTAATTATTAATATTCTCGCAACTGTTTATTTTCATAATAAAACTTGTTTCTCAGAAAAGAAAATATTCCCAAACTATAAAGCAGTTTGGCAAAAATGAAGCGATATTTTTGTTTGCAGTTTCTTTCATGACCCACTATTTAACCACATGGAGGCAGAAAACTATAAAAACAAAAGAAAGATAAAAAGAATGAAAAACAAATGTCGGATGGGTAGTGGCAGTGTTTCGAGCATTATACGAGATTCGATTGTACTCTATTTGATATAGGCGTTTGTTGCCATCATCGGAAAATAAAAGACTACCATCTTTAAGAACAAGTATTCCAACAGGTCGTCCAAATGTATCAGGTCCGGATGGATTTGTTAGAAATCCATAGACAAAATCTTCATAGTAACCCATGGGTCGATTTGTATTACTATCAAATGGGATAAATATAATCTTATAGCCAGTTCCACTATTTCTATTCCATGAACCATGAAATGCTGCAAAAGCACCATTTTTATATCGACTAGGAAATTGATTGCCAGTATAAAATCGCATATCAAGAACTGCTGAATGAGCTTGAAAAAGAACATCAGGTGTTCGTGTCAATGATACGAGATCCGGTCGTTCACTTGATCCATTACTTAGACGTCGTCTTGGATCAGTTAAATTTGGACCCATGTATGCAAAAGGCCATCCATAAAAATTACCTTGTTGAATGCGTGTAAAATAATCAGGAACAAGATCGTCACCAAGCGCATCTCGTTCTTGACATGTTACATAGAGATCATTGGTGATTGGATGAAATGCCAAACCAACAACATTTCGAAGACCAGAAGCAAATGTTGCTTGATTACTACCATCGATATTAGCTTTTTGAACAGAGGCTCGTGGTAATGGTTCAATATTAACATTAGATGCTGAACCGATGCTAATAAACATTTGATCATCGGCAGGTGATATAAGTATAGTGCGCGTTGAATGACCAGTTGAAGGATAAGTCATAATAACCTGACCTGTACCTGTGATTTGTCGACTTCCAGAAGTCCAAGAATAACGTCGAAGAGCGTCTCGATTAGCAACATAAAAATATCCATTGAGAAAAGCCATACCAAATGGATAATTGAGTCCATTAGATGCATCTGCAAATGTTAAACGCTGATCTGGATAGCCATCATGATCATTATCTACTAGACATGAAATTCGATTAGCACTTGATTCACTAACAAGAATATCATCATTTGGTGTATAAATAAGATAACGTGGTGCTGTAAGTCCACTCATGTATAACTTGATCGAGAATCCATCAGGAACATAGAGCTGAGGATCTAAAGGTACCGGTATAACTCGAGCTCCCTTAGAAGCCGATGATGTAGCATAGGGTTGCGGGAGACCAGCAACGGTTATCTTAATCGACTGTGGAATGAAACTAATATTTTTACAGTTGATTCGATGAAATAAAATTAAAATAAAGGATGAATACAAATAAAAGATGGATGAAGAAAACATTTTTTGTGATTTCAGCTTGTTTTTCGATCTATATTAACCAATGCGATACTACTTATATATCGACAAACGAACGTTAGAATGAGTATAAATATACTTCGTAAATATTTTTGAAGGTGTCACGTAACATTAATATATTTGACATTTCGTTGTTTTTTTTTGTTTCTCCTTGTTACTTGATGAATAACTATGCTATTCTTTCTTTAAAGATGAAATTCACGTAAGTAGTACGCAAATATGTAATTTAATTATTAATGTAAATGCGTATGCAAATTTGTTTCGATGGTTCATGTTACAAATAACCCTAGTAGTGAAAATATTCATCAATGGAGTACGGATTTCCAGTATGAGTACTCAAGTTTCTCACTTGAGTACTGGAGAAATTTTATGTGTATTTATAATTTTCGTGTACTCGAGCGAGTACTCATTTGAGTTGTTTCTCTAGCATTTACTAGTATGCACAAAAATAAAATAGAATTGTCTAAAAAAGGAAAATGATGAAATCAAATGAAAAATAGGAACGAAATATTCAGAGAACTCATTATTTTATTCTTCTTTTTTAACTGAGGAGTCATTTCTATCGCTTGAATGAATGACTATATTTAACGAATAGAACAACGACATTTCATTTTCAACTGTGTACGGTGTTGACTTCACTGATGAAAATGTGCCTTCCGAAGGCTTGATATTGATTAATCTCATAGGAAGAGTAACTCCCTTCTCTGAATAGAAGGTTGATCTCATTAGAAGACTATTCTCTAGAAAAATTTCGCAAGACATAATAGACGTTGTTAAGTTTTCCAAAAAAACTTTTCCTGTAGACTCATCCAGATTTGAAGTGTTTACAACCGAAAGTTTGATTTTTCAGTAAAAAACAATATTTTTATTGTGAAAATTTTGTCATTTTGAGTAAAAAAAAGCTGTGTTCCTGAGGAAAAAAACTGTTTTTTCACCACTGGGCCTGTAATAACCATGCCTAGATTTCGGAAAACCTTTTAAAAAAACTTCGGTTTTATAGAGTGTGAGTTGTGTGTGTGTGTGGGGGGGGGTGTTCTGAAAGGTATGCTCGCATCCACATCCACGTGCTAATAATAATTCGATTTGAAGAATACAGCGAATTGATTCTGGCTGTTCAAGAACATTTGAAAATCTAGTATAAAAAGTTATGTTGTAGCGGCAGCGGCTGTCGATCAGTCACACATTGTACATCTATAACCATATGATATACATAGAGCGTCGTTATATAAAATACTGCAGTTATTAAACAGCAAAATATAAAACTTCAGCAATTGTTACTTTTTTTATTTGGCATGCATCTTGTTATTATCATGAACGAAACAATTTAATATGTTTTTTTTTCATTGTGTTATTGACGGATGTATGGATTGATTATATTATCATTTTAATGTATGTTATAACCTTTCAATTTATGTTAAATCAAGTCTATGATCTTATTTTATTTTCTAGTATATGTTGTTGATGCCATGACGTAGAGTTTTTCTGTCAAAATTTATTACTTACTATTTCATTTTGATTATATAACCAATAAAATATTGATAAAAACAACACTGCATATTTCTCATTTTGTTAATTTATTTTTATTTTTCGAGTTCACAGTTTTTCGAAGGCAAAAAGTGCATTTTCCAAGAATCGTCTCGAGTATGAAGAAACTAGGGGAATCAATTTATCAACTTAATTAAGTTGAAAACCACAATAATTATTAAATGATTTGTTCTCAATTCCTTTTTCTTCATAATAAGATTATCAGCTGTGAATGATATCATTACTTCAAAGAGTTGATTAAACGTGTTGCCTACGACTAACCATGAGCACTAAATACTTACGAATCAATGAATTTTTCCTAGTATCATGCTTAATCTTTTCTGTTTGATACTAATAAACTTCGTTTTGAACCTGTAACACAGTATGATGTATCATAAAAATCAAAATCACTGATTTATAGCACTCTGCTTGTTTTAGTCGATAGTATTGCAATTATCAGATTTTTATCTCATTTCACTTTGACTGATCACAAACATGATTTTTGTTTAATATCAAGGAATGTTCTTTGTTTTTTTTTTAATAAAGAAAGAACAAAACTAAAGTAGTAACTCATTGAGGAACTATCAGTATGTGAGAGGATTTGAATAAAAGCTCGAGCAAAATAAAATAAATTGACAAAATCTTTTATTGTTTTCTAGCTATAATTTGAAAACGAAGTAATATATGTCGTCAAATAATATATGTCACATGTTCCACCATGTTTCTTTACTTTGGTTGTATAATACCCGCAACTACCGCACCTATGCAATTCAAAACGACGCCAATTATTCTATTTCGAGCAGCGGCACCTAATGCTAAGTCGATTCCACTCATTTCAAAGCCACTTTCACTTAATGTGAAGCGGGTTCCACTGATGAAGAAATTAATACTTGTTGCCATGCCTATGAGATCCAATATAAATGATAAACCAGACAAGCCTTTGCTAATCCAGAGAAATCTCGGTTCGAACTTATTCTTGATGACAACATGTAAAAGATATCCAATTGCGAAATGTGTAGGGTGTGGGTGGTGTCTCTGTGTGGGTGTGGGTGTGGGTGGGTGTGGGGTGTGGGTGTGGGTGTGGGTGTGTGGGTGTGGGTGTGGGTGGGTGTGGGTGTG